TTCCTAAGTTATATTTTTTATATATGCTTTTATTTTTATTTTTTCATTTAGTGATTACTGAGAATTAACTTTCTACTCTCAAATACATATTATATATATAGTTATAGATAAAACATACAGAAGTCTTGACCTTTATAAATTTAAAGCCTATCAAGAGATTGGTCTGGCCTTAAATAAACATGATGTAGTCTTTTCTTAGTGATGTTACTTTTAAACTCAAAGAAGTGTGGTGGTGCAGGCCTGGAATCCCCAGCCATTCAGGAAGCTGAAGCAGGAAGATGCAAGTTCAAGGCCTGTGTAAGCTACAGAGTGAGCTCAGGGCCAGCCATGGCAACGTAGTGAGACCCTATTTCAAAAATGTTTAAAGTAAAAGGAGAGTTGGGTAGATGTAGCTCACATGTAGGCACTTGCCTAGCAAGGCTCTGGGTTCAATCTCCAGTACCATGAAAAACAAAAATAAATGGAATCAAACAACTTTTCCAATACAAAAATTTAGAGGTGTTTATTTCTTTGTCCTCTGGGTAGCTTTCCTTACACTTAACTCTTTAATTTCTCCAAAATGTATCTAAATTAATGGTGGGAAGTAAAACTCCAAGTTTATTTTTTTAATATTTCATTATTTTTATTCTATGTATATGAGTGTATTGCTTGCGTGTACGTAAATACATCCATGCCCACAGAGGTAAGAAGAGGGCATCAGATCCCCTGGAACTTGAGTTGTGGATAGTTGTTAGGTGCCATGGGGGTGCTGGGAACCAAACCCAGTTCCTCTGCAAGAGCAGCCAGTGCCCTTTACCTCTGAGCCATCTCTCCAGCCCCCAAGTTTATTTTTTCAAGCAATGAACCAATTTTTGAGTCACCGTTCCCTTCTCTCAGGCTATTGATACCTCTTTGATTATATGGTCTTCCTGTAACTGTGACTGTTTCTAGGCTATCAATTTTCATTGATCATCTAATTTTCTTAAGTTCCTTTTCTATTACTCTTATTCATAGCTCATTTAAACAGATGTTGTAAAAACAACACCAAATTATCCTTGTACTACCAACAGAAAATTATATAAGAATAATGTATTTTTTTTCTTTAGTTCAATGAACACTAGGGATTTGTATTGCCTCACTGCTGTAATTTTAAGTATTTTCTTACCTTGGGATGGAAAATGTTAGCTATATAAATAAAATGCAAAATAGCAAATATTTGCTGGGCTTCTGTTTGTGACATGAATGCATACAGATATATTTCCACTAAGTAGATATTAGGGCTGATCCCAAAAACAAAAAGGGACCAAAGCATAATGGGTGTTTCTGTAGTTTCAGATAGTACTTCTGAGTTTTTGATGGCGGAAAACTTTGTGAACACTTCAGTACCTGAGGATGAGATTCTAACTGTTATGAATAGCAAGCAGATGCAGAAACCAAATCTGTCCATAAATAAGACGCAACAGTCCAACATCTGTGCCCTGTCATCTGAAGAGCAGAAGATCCTACAGTCCCTTAACCGTCTCAATGAAAGGCTGTACTGTAAGTGTGGAAGGACATCTTTTGTTAGAAATATGGTATTTTGTTCTTAAGCCTATTTTAAATTTTAATTCAAAACCTTGAAGTAAAAATACAAAATGTATTCAGATTATCACCTTCTTAATACAGTGTATAAAACTGAAAATATTTTAATAGTTAATATTATTGCAGCTATGCCTTATAACTTGTGATGATACCAATTTCTTTGCCTTGCCGATTTTAGAAAATTACTGTGTTTTAACAGAACAGAATACGTATCTATACTGACCATCATGAAAATAACTATAAAATTCTTCATTAAGTATTTTTAAAATGGCAGCATAGCTGGGCATGGTGGCACACACTATTAATCCTAACACTTCACTTGGGAGGCAGAGGTAGGTAGATTTCCTAACCTGGTCTACATAGCATGGTCCAGGCCAGCCAGGGCCACATGAGACCCTGTCACAAAAAAAAAAAAAAAAAAACCTCAGTATCTACTGGGGAGATAGATAAGGACGTAGGACGTGGGCCCGGGGCACATGCCTGTAATGTCAGCACTTCAGTGGCTAAAGCAGGAGGATCAATACAAGTTGAAGGAAGCCTGGGCAACTTATAAACTACAGACTCAGTCTGGGTGACATAGGAAGACCCTGTCTCAAAAAACAAAAAGAAAAAAGAAGATGAAAATTTTTTTTTACTTAGGAGGTTAAGGTAGAGCTGCAAGCAGCTTTTAAGCTGTAAATATTAAGAGACGTTAGAAAGGAAGATCAAAACCATGGGACCTACTAGAAATTTGTAGTATCAGAAAAGACTCTCCATCATTAAATTGAGCCAGTCAAAGACCTATGCTTTTCATCACAGAAACTGGAGAGGTTTTTTAAAAGCTTACATATCACTGGGCTACAGGGAGACAGGGTCTTCCTGTACCCCCAACTGGCCTGGAACTCACTATGTAGACCAGGCTGGCCTTGAACTCACAGAGATCTGCCTTCCTTTGCCTCCCAAGTGCTGGGACTACAGGCATGTGCCACTGCACCCAGCTAGTTTACATATCTTAAACTTCAGTATTGAGCAGGTGAAGGAAGGGAGGAATACATCTCTAAGAATTCAGAAACAGTCGAATGTATGCATGACACCTGTTTATAGCCCATATTCATACCGAGTGATCTGTAAAGATTTAAGCAAATAATTTAATTTATAATGGTCTCAAACTCTAATACTCTCAAAATAGTTGAAAAAAATATTTATATCCCTTTTGGAAAAACCTACCTATATTTTAGTCTTCAGAGAATTATCACAAATGAAAGCAGTCCATTTTAATTTAATAAAAATTAAAATAACTAACCCAAGGGCTGGAGAGATGGCTCAGGAGTTAAGAGTACTGGCTGTTCTTGCAGAGGAACCAGATTTGAATCCCAGCACCCACACGTCAGCTAACAACCATCCATAACTCCAGTTCCAGGGGATCTGATGCCTTCTTCTGTCCTCCCCAGGCACTGCACAACGTGGGTGCACTTACACACATGCAGGCATAACACTTATACACATAAAATAAAAATAAACAAATCAAAGAAAATTACTAATACATAAAGAAAAAGGTACCATTTTTAAAAAATCAAAGGAAATCATAAGACAGACTAAATAGACCCCAAAAGGATTTTATGTAATGAAATTACAGGATACCAAATATAAAATAACTCTATGTATATGCTTTAAAGTAAACAGAAATATGTTTTAAAATCCAATCAGGAAATAAGAAACTATAAGAAATGACTAAGCCTTTGGAAAATTACAATGCCTAGAAATGGAAAATATGAGTAAGTTAAATTTATAATCCAACTGATTATTTATAAATACCAGATTGTAACATTTGAAGAGAGAATTAATAAATATTAAGCTGAATAAATATACAGCTTAAATGACAAAGGAGTGAAGGCCCGCAATGGGTGAGGCAGTATCTGAAGTGGCCATGGCTGCCTTTTTGTGTGTGTGTGATAGGGTCTCCATGCAGCCCAGTTGGCCTGAAACTCACTATGTAGACCAGGCTGGCCTCAATCTCAAAGAGATTGGGTGCTAGGATTAAAGGTGTATCACCAAGCCCAGCATGGCTGCCAAGTTTTCCAGTCTGATGAGTACTACCAACATATAGAATGAAAAGCCAACACATTTCAGAGTAAATAAAAAGAAATTCCCTTAGCACAGACAGGTTCTGGGTTCAAGCCCCAGCAGAAGGGGAAGATGGAGAGAGAGAAGGAGAGAGTAAAGAGGGAATTGAAAACATCTCCTTTATCCTGAAGTGCTCAAAAGATGAAAAAAAACATTTTTTTTTTCCAGACAAAATCTCCCCATGTAGCCCTGGCTGACCTAGAACTTGCTATGTAGACCAAGCTGGCCTAAACCCAGGGAGATCTGTGTGCCACAGCCTCCCTAGTGCTAGGATTAAAGGAATGTACCACCACAACCCCCTTCCAGAAAAATTCTCTTTTAAAAAAAGAGAACAAAAGGAAAATATAACACTTGAATGAAGAGTGTGTATAAAAGTCAAAGTACTAGAAATTCCCGTTTATCAACTGCAGTTTTATATAATTGTTTCTAATCCAATTGCCTCTAATTTTGGACCTAATGTAAGAATTATTTCTGGGGTTGGTAGGGAATCTCTTACTCAGTTTTGAATAGTTTGACACATCAGAATCTCATAACTGACTTGTTAGTGACTCTGTATGCAGGACAGATTATTTTGTGTTGTGGTGTAATTTTTCAGACATACAAGAAGCCATTTGCAAAAATCCATCCATCAAAAATACTTTTCAGATAATACCACTTCTGGTAAGTATTTCAAAAAGGTCCTTTTTTTTCTTGTTTTGTGGAGAGAGAGAGAGAGAGAGAGAGAGAGAGAGAGAGAGAGAGAGAGAAATTTTCAGTCTAACAGACATACATATTTACACAAATATCGTATACCAGGTGAGATAAGATTATGTGAGGCACAAGCTTAAGAAGCCACGGAATGAAAGAATCGCCTGTGGCTGGAGGAGAGCAGGAGACATTCAGGTTTTCTCAGACTCAGATCCCACTTGTACCTTCACAATTCTCAATTTAGATACTGGCCAGAGAAATGTTTTGTTGAATTAACTGGATGTTCTTCTGTTTTTAATCAGTACCCTCTGTTCTGAAATCTTGACAGGAAAAGGTAAGATGGTGCAGAAACACTGTATCTCTTACTACCATCTCTTACATGAAGCACAGTGTTCTCAGCTGTGTTCCCACGGTCCTGTTCTGACCCGGTGTGACAGTGAATAACAGCAAAGGAGGAAGAAGCTGGCCTGCCCTCTGGAAGCTTCCTGCCCCTTGAGGCACTCAGTTCTCGGAGGCCTGTAGGTTTGGGTGCTATGCTTTGGGGCAGAGCATTCTTGCCAGCATTCTTCGATTTCTGACTAATATTTTTGGGGGCTACTTTTTATATAGTAGATTGGATTTCCCCTAAATTTTTTGTTTCCATTAATACTTCAATAATATTTACAGTGATGATTTTTCTTTTTTAATTTCTAATGAAAAAAATGGCTCAGCCAGGCATGGTGGCACACACCTTTAATCCCCCCACTTGGGAGGCAGAGGCAGGAGAATCTCTGTGAGTTCAAAGCCAGCCTGGTCTACATAGGGAGTTCCAGGATAGCTGGGGCTACAGGGAGACCCTGTCTCAAAAAGACCCCCCCAACACTAAAAGTTGAAAATTCTAAGTATCCTTCTTTAATTGACTCATGCAGTATGAGGCATTGCTCAATTCAAATCTTAGGTACATTTTTCCTCAAGGGCATCTGAATCTATGGAGAAATGTCAGTTAATGGCCTTAAAGATCAAATTTGTGGTGGATTATCTTTTCTAATATGTGTCTGTATGCAAGTATTTTGTTGAGAATTTTTGCATCTATGTTCATTAAGGATATGGGTCTGTGGTTCTCTTCTTTGGTTGTATCTTTACCTGGTTTTGGCATTAGAGTGATGCTGGCTTCATAGAAGTTTAGGAGTTCTCCCTCTGTTTCTATCTCTTTGAATAATTTAAGTAGTACTGGTTGTAGATCTTCTTTAAATGTCTGGTCTTCTTTTACTGTCTGATCTTCTTTAAATTCTTCTGTGAATCCATCTGGGCCTAAGCTATTTTAGTTAGGAGGTTTTGCATTCCTGTTTTGATTTCCTTATATGTTATGGGTCTGCTTTAAGCTGTTGATCTCCTTGGTTTAGCTTTGGTGGTTCCCATGATTTTAGGTATTCATCCATTTCTTTCAGGCTTTCAAATTATTATTAATAGAGTATAGGTTTTTAAGGCATTCCCTTATAATGTTCTGGATCTTTTGGGTGTCTGTTGTGATGTTTCCCCTTTCATCTCTGATTTTGTTGATTTGGAGGTACTCTTTCTTTGGTTAACTGAGCTAAAGGTCTGTCTTGTTTATCTTTTCAGAGAACCAACTCTTTGTTTCATTGATTCTTTGTATTGTTTTCTTTGTTTCTATTTCATTAATTTCTGCTCTGAATTTTGTTATTTCTTCTCATCTACTGGATTTGGGTTTCATTTGTTTTTGTCTTTCTAGTATCTTGAGTTGTAATGTTAAGTCATTGATTTGTGCTCTGATTTTTTTTTGTCTTTTTGAGACAGGGTTTCCCTGTAGCCCCAGCTGGCCTGGAACTTACTTTGTAGACCAGGCTGGCCTTTAACTTATAAACTTCACCTGCCTTTGCCTCCCAAGTGTTGATATTAAAGGCATGTGCCACCATGCCTGGCTCTTTCTGATTTTTTAATGTAGGCACTTAGAGCTATAAACTTCCCTATTAGGACTGCTTTTAATGTGTCCCAGAGATTGTGTTGTGTTGTACTATCCTTTTCATTTAGTTCCAGGAACACTTTAATTCCTTTCTTAATTTCTTCTTTGACCCATTCATTCATCATTCTGGAGTGTGTTGTTTAATCTCTTTGAGTTCATGTAGTTACTAGAGTTTCTTTTGGTGTTGAGTTTAAGCTTTATTGCATTGTGGTCTGATAGAATACATGGAATGATTTTAATTTTTTGTATTTGTTGAAGTTTATTTTGTGCCCCAATATGTGGCCAATTTTAGAGAAAGGATGCTGAACATAAAGTATATTCTTTGGTGCTTGGGTGGAATATTCAATAGATATCTGTTAGGTCCATTTGATGTATGGTATCTTTTAATTCAGATTTATCTCTATTCTTTTATGGTTGATCTATCTATGGGAGATAGTGGGATATTGAAGTCACGTACTTTTATTGAGTTGTAGTTAATCTGTGTCTTAAAGTCCTGTAGTACTGTTTTTATGAAATTAGGTATACCAGAGTTTGGTACATATATGTTCAGGGTTGTAATATCTCCTTGGTCAATTGTTCCTTTGGTCAGAATGAAGGAACCTTCTTTATCTCTTCTGATAAGTTTTAGTTTGAAGTCTGTTTTGTCAGATATTAGAATTACAACCCCAGCTTGTTATTTAGTACCATTTTCTTGGAATATTTTTTCCCATACGTTCACTTTAAGGTAGTGCCTATACTTGAAAGTGAAATGGGTTTCTTGCAGACAACAAAAAGATGGATTTTGTTTCTTAATCCATTCAACTAGCCTGTGTCAGCTGGGGTGGTAGCACATGCCTTTAATCCTGGCATTCAGGAGGCGGAGACAGGCAGATCTCTGAGTTTGAGGCCAACCTGGTCTACATAGCTAGTTCCAGGCCAGCTGGAGCTACAGAGAGCCCTGTAGCAAAAAGAAAAAAAAAAAAGGCAACTAGCCTGTGTCTTTTGATTGGGGAGTTCAGGCCATTGATATTTAAAGTTATTATTGAAAAATGTATATTGGTTACCATCATTTTAAGTTCTGTTTGTATTCTTGGTCTAATTTTGTGTTTCCACAATTATCCCTTCATTTAGTTTCTTTCTGTTGCCTCTTGGCCTCCTTTCTTTTAGTCCTTTGTATTGCTTTGAGTATTCTCTGAAGGGCTGATTTGGTGGACATGAATTCTTTCAGCCTATTCATGTCATGGAAGATTTTTCTTTCCCCTTCCACTATAATAGACCATTTTTCTGGGTAAAATATTCTGGATTCACATCTATGGTCATTTAGGACTAGGAGTATTTTGGTCCAGGCTCTTCTGGCCATCATAATTTGCATTGAAAAAAGTCAGCTGTAATTCTGATGGGCTTTCCTTTATGTGACTTGTTTTTCTCTTGCAGCTTTTAGTGTTCTCTCCTTGTTCTGGACATTTAGTGTTTTTACTATGATATGGCATGGGGAGTTTCTTTTCTGATCTTGTCTATTTGGTATTCTGTGAGCTTCTTGTATTTGTATGGGCATGTCTTTCCTTAATTTTCAGAAATTTCTTCAACAGTCTTGTTGAAGATCTGGTCAATACCATTTACCTGAGATTCTTCTCCTTCCTCTGTGCCTATGAGGTGTAAAATTGGTCTTTTCATGGTGTCTCACATTTCCTGCTCACTCCATTTCTGGGTTTTTTTTTTAACTTTTCATATTCTTTGCTTGAGCGGTCCAATTCTTCAACTTTATTGTCCAGTCTTGATACTGTTTTTCATTTCATTGGTTTTATTGGTGAGGCTTTCTGCTGTGATTTCAAATTAACTTATTGAGTTTTTCGCTTCCCTCTTCATTTCAGCCTGAGTTTTCTTCAATATTTCTATCTCTCTTGTGAATTCAGTCAGAGGTTTATCCCTCTCTTCTTTTTTTAATATTTATTTTATGTGTATGAGTGTATTACTTTCATGTATGTAAGTGCACCCATGTCATGCAATGCCTGTGGAGGTCAGAAGAGGATGTTGAATCCCCTGGAACTGGTGTTAGAATGATTGTTAGCCCCCATGCAGGTGCTGGTAATCAAACCCAGGTCCTCTGTAAGAACAGCCAGTGCTCTTAACCACTAAACCCTCTCTCCAGCCCCCTCCCCATCTTCTTTTAGTCCTTTGATTTGTTTGTTCATATGTTCTTTAAATTCATTGAATTCTTTGATCATGTTTATGACTGTTTTTTTTTAAATTCTGTGTCCTGGGTTATCTCTAGGGGGCTCTCACTATAGACCTTTTCTATAGGACTGATGGTGTTTGGTGGTGTTTGGTTTTTCATATTTTTTTTCTTTGTGGTTATGGCGTGTGTATTTCTTTTGTTGCTTGTGATTCTAGTACGAAGCTCGGGCCTTCCTTTGTTGAGTTGAAGTTTGATTCTGTTTGTATTACTGGGTGTACCTTGGTTGATTGGATATGAAAAGCTGATTAGCCTAGGCTCTAGGCTTCAGGTTCTGTCTTTTGATTTTATATTGGAGGGACCAGATGGCTCCATTCAGGCTATTCAGGAGCTCTCCAAAAGGGTAACGGTGCATTGGCTAGTTAGGAGCTCTTCAGAAACCTCCAATGGATAGTGCCAAGGTCCGAGGAAAGGAGATGGGAGTGCTGGCCCCTACTAGTCAGCTGGGATGCCTAAGCCCTGGAGCACTGGGAGGAACTGCAAGTGATCCCAAAGCAGGAGACAGGGCATGGCACCATTTGGGAAGCTCACCTGGCAGAGGCCCTGGTCCAGCGCTCTCAGGCAGTCTCCCCAAAACATAAGTTCAACTGTATAAGAAAAATAGTTTTATCATGTTGAGCAGTGATATACCAATGATGGATAACTCTCCAGTTGCATTAGCTCAGAATGCTGGTTTCATTTTTAAATTTTTATTACATTTGTGTGTGTGTGTGTGTGTGTATGCACGCGTGCACACACACACTATGGCATATATGTGATGGTCAGAGGACAACTTGAAGGGAGCCTGTTCCTCCACATGTAGGTCCTGGGGATGGAACTCAGGTAATGAGGTTTCGCAGGAAGCACCCTTACCTGCTAAACTATCTTCCTGGCCCAATTTTTTAATATTTTTATTTCATTAGTGTATATTCATTCTATATTCCAGTAACAATTTTTCCATGTGAGAAATCTGACTGTGACCATCTTTGTCAGTTCTGACATTCATTCTTATTACTGTAATGCTTGCTTCTCTTAAGGAAATTACAGCCATAAGTGACTGAGGTCTCTTCACACCAGCTCAGCTTAAAACAGTGCACCAAACACAGACAACAGCAAAATCAGATGAGAGACTGCTGTCTAGTCAGAAAATTACTCTGTTGAGATATTTCCAATGTGCCCATGCCCAATTCCTAACTTCACTTTAGTATTTTAGATTTTCTTTTCTACGTCCAAATTCAGTCCATCTAAGCACCAACTTAGTGCCACTTTCTCCCTGAAGCTGTGCATAGCAAATCCAGTTCCTGATGCCACCAGCCTCTCTGAATTTACTGCCATGGGGCCAATTTTGTACTTGTATCACGCAGATATTCCTATTAATTGTCTTTCTAAATCCTTGGAATGTTATTCTTTGAAGTCTAAATTGTTCTTCCCTTACCTATCTGCTGTTTTAAAAGTAGCACACACTAAATACATAGAAAACATTGACTTTCTATATTTCTTTTGTTTTGCAACAGGGTCTCCCTATAGCCCCAGCTGGCCTGGAACTCACTATGTAGACCAAGCTGACCTTGATCTCACAGAGATCTGCCTGCCTCTGCCTCCCTAGTGCTAGTATTAAAGGCATACACCATGATACCTAGCTATTTTTTATGATGTTTATGCACATTCTTTAAATAATCTCTTTTTCAGACTACAGTGAATGAAGTGATTTACTTGAATATAGAATCTAATATTTTAAAGCCATAAAAATACCACTATTCCTGGGGTCCTTCAGTGAACATTAATATTTAATAAATTAGTACTCTTTAGTGGCAAATGGAAATTGTTGAAATAGGAACTGGGTTCCTTCAACTGAAAAGTGCTGTGCTATAGGACAGAGAGGATGAACACGATCATCGTGTTCATCCTGTACTATAGCATCCGTGAGCCTATCTTAGTTAACTTACACATGAAGCCTAGCTGAATAGTGCTGAAGCAGTCACACCTCGGCCCGTACAGAGCTATGATCAAAAACTTCATATACCTGTACAAAATGACATGGTGAAATCCAGTACTGTACAGTTGATGCTCACTATAGCAAATATTATGCCCTGGGAAGGGGAAGGGGGACAAAAGAGGTTATAGGGGCCGTGAATATGATTGTGTATTATGTACATGTATGAAAATGTCATAATGAAACCCATTATGTATAGCTAATATCCAGTTAATGATATTTCAGTTAATGATACCACCTTCCACCAAATTTCTCAGACATTTGTATAATCAGGATTCTCCCATATGCAAAGTCAATAAATGTTCCTAATTATGTTTGCTAAATATGCCCAACACTTCTCCATTCCTACTAATAGTGTCTCTTGGTTTAAGAATTTATTAGGACGGTGGAGAGATGGCTCAGAAGTTAAGATCACTGGCTACTCTTGCAGAGGACCTGGGTTCAGTTCCCAGCACCCACATGGCGGCTAACAGCCATCAGTAGTCCCAGTTCCTGGGGATCCAGTGCTCTCTTCTGGCTTCTGTGGGCATTGCATGCACATGGTGCACTTACATACATACAGGCAAAATACTCATATACAAAAATGTCGATCAAAAAATGTTTATTTATTGGGCTGGGGCTATTACAGGACTTGGCTTAGCATGTATGAGACTTTTATCCTCCCAACCCTCAGAGGAAAAAAAAAGAAATTGTCATATTCTCAATAACATAAGATAGGAGACACAAAGCAATAAGAAAATGGCAGCATTAATTGCCCTGATTTGATCAGTACACACTATGTATGCATTGAAATAACATGTCTGACCTCTTCAATATGTGGGGTTATTATGAATTAATGAAAAAAGTTGCTGGGTATCATAGTACACACATGCAATGTATGCTGCATACCATGTGAGAGGTTGACGTCACAGGATCATGAGTTCAAGTCAGCCTTGGCTATATAGTGAGTTCAAGTCAAGCCTGGGATACATGAGACCCTGCCTCCAAAAAAAGAAAACAGTTATGTTTTAGGAAGGCTGGAGCTCAGTGGTAAGAGAACCTGCCTAGTGTGCACATGGCCCTGGATTTCATCCTCAACATCCAAAAAACAAAAAAAAAAGAGGAAAGGGAGGAAGTGGGGAGGAAATTGTTTAAGGAGGTGAACATGCCAGCCAGGCGTGGTGGTGCACACGTTTGATCCCAGCACTGGGAGGCAGAGGCAGGTGGATCTCTGTGAGTTCAAGGCCAGCCTGGTCTCCATAGGGAGTTCCAAATCAGCTGAAGCTACAGGGAGACCCTGTCTCAAAAAGATAAAAAAAAAAATAGTGAAAATGCCAACTAGTCTGACTGATCATAACAAATTATATACATGTATCAAATTGTACTGTACCTCATAATATATATACTTAAAATAATAATCATTTTATATTTTTTAAAGAATGTGTCAGCTGGGCATGGTGGTGCAAGCCTTTAATCCCAGCACTCAGGAGGCAGAGGCCAGTGGATCTCTGTGAGCTTAAGGCCAGCCTGGTCTACATTGTGAGTTCCAGGCCAGCTGGAGCTACAGGGAGACCCTGTCTCAAAAGACAAAAAAAAAAAAAAAAATTATCATGTTTGATCCAGACCATTTTAGCTGCCTCGGGGTTTGTTTTCTAATCCTCCATGCTACCATCACCAGAATAATCTCAGAATACCAATATGAAGAGCCTGGCATGGGGTGCCTGCCTCGCCTGCTATGGCTCCCCTGTAACTTTCCCTCTGTAACTTGGCCATTCCATGCTGTTCGCACTGCCTTTTCTTTCTTTCTTTCTTTCTTTCTTTCTTTCTTTCTTTCTTTCTTTCTTTTTTTCTTTTTGGTCTTTTTGAGACAGGGTCTCCCTGTAGCCCCAGCTGTCCTGGAGCTTACTATGTAGACCAGGCTGGCCTCAAATTCGCAGAGATCCGCCTGCCTCTGCCTCCCGAGTGCTGGAACTAAAGGCACCACTACCCCTGGCTTGCACTGTCTTAAAGAGCTGGAGGGATGGGTCCGTGGGTAAATTCTGTACTGCACAAGCATGAGGACCTGAATTCAGATCCCCAGCACCCATATCAAAAAAAAAAAAAAAAAAAAAAAAAAAAGCCACATTTAGAGACACACACCTATAACCCTGGTACTTGAAGATGGAGACAGATGAATCCCAAGTGCTAGCTGGCCACCCAGTGTAGTCAAAATAGTGAGGGTTCAGTGAAGAGACACTGCCCCCAAAACTATGATAATAAAATAAGTTAGAGAAAGATGGCAGAAGATATCTGAAGTCCACCTCCAACCTTCAGAGAGAGAGAGAGAGAGAGAGAGAGAGAGAGAGATTAGTATGCAAATGTTTACAATAGCAAAGTGTCAAGATCTTGAGGTATTACAGTTAATATGATGCTTTATGTAGAGTAGGGCTCAATTTTGTTGAGATCGATGTATGTGTATGTAACATTTAAGAATTTGAATTTGAGGGGCTGAAGAGATGGCTCAGCAGTTAAGAGCACTGGCTGCTCTTTCAGAGGGCCTGGGTTCAATTCCCAGCACCCACATGGTGCTTGCTAACAACCATCCATAACTCCAGTTCCAGGGGAATCTAACACCCTCTTTTGACCTCCACGACATTATACATCATGGGTGCGCTTCCATACATACAGGCAATACACTCATACACAAAAAAATAAAAATAATAATTAAAATATTTTGAAAAAAGAATTTGAATTTGGGTTTAGGTCTTGTTAAAAACTATAGTCTATAAGGAGACTGGCCTGTTTAAGTCTGTGGATATTATAATAAAAGAATTCCAAAACTGTCTTACAGAACAGCCAGCCAAGGGACAGTCTGTCTCCTGATGTTGGATCCAGAGTGCAGAAAAAGTACTGATGAAGTGTGATAGTAATTATCTAATGGAGTAATTATTTTTGAGAATCTTCTGTAAATATATCCCATATTTCTGCATTTATTAATGATTTAAAATACTATAACCATAAAAGTAAATTGTAATATAGGTAATGGATAAATTTACTAGCTTACATTTATGCTACAAATTATACTTTATTATGTATTTTATTGATACATTTTAATGAATGGAATTATTTTATTGTTTTCAATAAGCATGCTACTGAATATAAATTTGTTCTATTTAAAAATAAAAGATGCTATTTTATTATTCAAATAATGTGTTAAGCATAGTAGAGAATCTTTGTTTTCTGAAATTCGTAATTCTAATAAATTTTTGTACAATGATATAATAAGAATCTTATGATTATTAACATCCCCCATAAATAATAAAGCTATTTGCTTAAGACTCTGCAGGATCTCTGTTCTTGGGAAATGTTTCCAAGAGGTCTTATTATCAGCTCTGCATGCTCAGCCATTAACATCATCATTTACCCAAGGGTCATTAGTCTCTGGAAAACTGACCACATTTAAAATATTCAGGGGAGCGGCTAGAAAGATGATAGTTAAGAGTGCTTGATTCAGGGCTGGAGAGATGGCTCAGCAGTTAAGAGCACTGACTGCTCTTGCAGAGGACCCAGGCTTGATTCCCAGCACCTCATGGTGGCTATGAACCACCCTTAACTCCAGTTCCAGGGGAATCCGAAGCCCTCTTCTGACCTCCATGGCAATGCATGACACAGGTGCACTCATATGTAGGCACTACACTCATACACATAAAATAAAAATAATAAATAAAATATTTTTTAAAAAGAGTGCTTAATTCTCTTTCAGAGAACTGGAGTTCAATTACCAGCACCCAGGTTGCGCAGCTCACAACAGCCTATAACTCCCAACTCCAGGAAATCCATTGCCTGCTCCTGGCCTCCACAGGCATCCACACATGTGCACATACACACGTGCAGACATATATACATAAATAAATAATATGAATTTTTTAATCAAAGGAGTCAAATGATACATGAAAATTAAACTGCAATCCAAACTGAACAACTTGATCTCTAGTCAGTACATTTTTTCCAGTAAGAATATCTACTTGTGAAACCAGACTTATATTAGAAGTTTGCTTCCTGAATTATTGAAGCAAATCCAAAAGTTACACTTTTTTAAATGGTTTTGTAAAATTGTGATAGCTCCATCATCTTTTATTTTCCCTACACTACATCTACTTCAGACTCCAAGCTGGGTTATTTCAGCTAATTTTCACACTTCTGATGGATGTCTGGATGTAATTTTCACCAGACTGAAAAATCAGCCCTATCAGTCCCATGTTAAAAGGCACCCCCTCCACTACTGGAGAAAATGCATGCTCCTTAGTGCAGCTGACTAGAATCCTGACCCTCTGAGTCCTCCTGCCTGCCTAGCCTCTTCCTTACCACCTTTCCCATCATAATAATTATATCAAGTTACTTATTCCTCAAATAAAATCTGTGGTTTCTTAACTTTCTTTGTATCCATCCCTCACCTTGGAAAGGTCTCACTTATGCCTCCCCTTAATCTGCCAGTAAACATTCATTCACTGTTTTAAATCCCATGTAGGCTGAACTTTTTCCATTTTTCCTAGTAATGATCTCTAGTACCTGTTCTAAATAACTCCTATCTTTTGTACCAAAAACTGAACTTACTTGTACACATACATTCCTCCTCTTCTAGGCCACAAGCTCCTAGAAGGTGGACACCATCATTCATCTCTGTACTCGGCAATTAAAATAAGGCACATGACGACAGACTCAAATAATGAATAAGGGAAAAGATAGTCATTCAGCTGACTAAATCCCTATCGTGTGCCAGGTGCCACTCAGTGTTAGAGATAGAGGAGAAAGCAAATTAATTGCTATCGTGTAGTTTATATTTTAGTGGGAAATACAAATTTTTAAACATTCCAAACAATCTGTGAAATAGTTACCAGTGTGCTAAGTGAACTTTAGGAAACAGTAGGAAGATAGAGGTGGAATGGTTGGAGAAGGTTCTTGAGACACTTAACATTTGAGCAGAGATCAGAGTGAAGTAAGAGAGCTGACTTCAGTGGAAGCCGAAGAACAGTACTGTACCCAAGGGGTAAGTGTAGAGGATCTGATACAAGAGTGAGCCTGGTCCTTTTGAATCACTCTGGCTTTGTTTTGGTTTGGTTTTAGACAGGGTCTCACTGTGTAGCCCTGGTTGGCCTGGAACTTGGTATAAGACCAGGTTGACCTGGAATCGACCAGCCTCTGCTGCACAAGTGCTGGTCCTCTTGCATGAGCTGGAGTTGTGATCTCCTCCCATGGACCTGAAGCTGTGGTCCCCTCTCGTGAGCTGAAGTTGTAGTACCCAACCGTGAGCCATGGTGCCACATTCTTGAGGCGGACTGATGGTGCAGCAGATTGGAGGATGGAGGATTCTCCATGCCAGACATCAGTTTCAGCCTTCTCTAAGTGGCTTTGCCTCTGTGTGGGCTTACGATGGGAACAGGAAGATTCTGTCATTTGCAGATTCTAGTCTTTGGAGGACTAATTCTCAAGAATGAACTTCCTGCCTCCCTTGATGGAGAGCTGTTGTCTTGATTCCACACGTGGTCCTGGGCACCCAGGCCTTGACACTGGACCTTTCCCATTGCCAAGAGATTTTCCATCATTTTTCTATTACTCTTTTCACAGCCCCAGTACACCTTCACCTGTGCCCTTTAGAAAATGTTAATCACCTAATTGAACTTCTAGAGATAAAAATCACTGTCTGGGGGCTGGGCATGGTGGCGTACACCTTTAATCCCAGCACTGGGGAGGAGGATCTCTGTGAGTTCAAGGCCAGCCTGGTCTACATAGTGACTTCCAGGCCAGCTGGGGCTATAGTGTCTCAAAAAAAAAATCTCTGGGAATTTAAAATTTTTAAAGACATAATGAAAAACACAGGAGGGAAAAAGAATCACACCGTCTCAACACTAAACAGCACCACATGTAGAGAAACGGCTTCTACTTAGAGGAGAAGGGAAATAAGCCCAGGCCCTGGACTTAAACTCAGTACCAGATACCCCATGGCAAGACCCAGTGCTAAGCTAAACCACAAAATCCCTACCACCAAGCCAAAACTCATAGACTGAGCCATTGAAACTGTGCTAGGCTGTCGGCCTCCACAAACCCTCCTCCCACCCAGAGCAGACTCCATCTTCTGGGGAAAGGAACACTGCTGGCTTTATCTTAGGGCTGAGTACTAGCCTGTCATGATAAGACTGAGAAGCGCACACACACACACACACACACACACACACACACACACACACATACACAGGCCAGAGTTCATAGACGGAGTCTCTAGACAAGCCCCAGCCACAGGCAGAGGGCCTGTGCATCAGTGGGACAAACTGAACTTTCAGTCTGAATTATTTCTAGCCTTGGTATGGACCAGCGGCACACCCCTCTTCAAGATTATGAAGACTACTATTGCTGTGAGACTCAGATACAAACCAGATTAATGCAGCTGTGATGGCCAAGAAATTCCCAAAAACCTGTACCTACTACTACCCCAACCTCAGGCAGCATAGCTTGGTACAAGACCTGCTAGGTGTAGTGCAGGATTATAAGCCTAAGACTTTGCCATGGAACTTAGTTCTGGGATGATGAAGACCATCACTAAGTAGAGTCTAGCTACCTCTATCTCCAGGCCTGTCTGCAGATAGTCTCAGAAAGTTCCAGTGCCAAGGGAAGTCACAACCCCAGCATACTAGGACTCTCCCTGCTCTACCTAGCATTATCCATAGCTGGTTACAGTAGTGTTGGACTGTGAGTCCACCTCAGTAATAGACAGCTCATAAAAACATAAGTCCCAGTCCCAGGGCTATGCTGGTCTTGCCAGATTGTGGGCTCAGGGTACATAACACAACTTAGCATCATGCATAGCTACAGTCATGATAGAAAACCTTTGATCTTGCCAACCCATGGTGATCCTGCCCAGATCCAGGCAATCTCCCGCAGTCCTGGCCATAGGCAGTATGGTGGGTGAAGTAGCTAAGCCCACCTGGTGCCAGGGAGAAGCTGTGGGGACAGACTACTCTTTGTAGCAGCCACTCTCATGGGTTATTTTGAACACACCAATAGAGGACTGAAGAAAAACATGGGCTTGGAATGCCCTCTAGTGCTAAACAGTGTCCACACATCAACAACAGACTCCTGGCAAACGTGGACCTGGGCATCATCGAGTGCAGAAACAGTGCAAGTGACTATAGGCTCAGGTTGCTTTCAAAAAATAAATCTGGGAAGACAGGCAGAAATAACGTCAAGTTATAAAGGCTGGAATAAATTCATACCAACCATCATCAAGAACTCATCAAAGCTGGGCATGGTGCTGCACGCCTTTAATCCCAGTACTTGGGAGGCAGAGGCAGGTGGATCTCTGTGAGATTGAGGTCAGCCTGGTCTACATAGTGAGTTACAGGCCACCTGTGGTTACAGGGAGACCCTGTCTCAAAAAGACCAAAACAAAAAGAAAAGAAAGAAAAAAAGAACTCAATAATAAAAAATATCATGCCGAAACTGACCAGAAACTAATATGGGACAATACTCAGAGAATTTAAAACAGGTGCTTTAAGAAAGCACAATGAGGGGCTGGAGACATGGCTCAGCAGTTAAGTACACTGGCTACTCTTGCAGGGGACCCAAGTTTGGTTCCCAGCACACACATGGCAGCTAACAACTGTAACTCCAGTTCAAGGGGATCCAGTGTCCTCTTCTAGCCTCTACAGACATCAGACATGCACATGCACGTGATGCACATCCATGTATGCAGGCAAAACGATCATACACATAAAAAAATAATAAATCTAAAGAAGTGCAATGAGCCCAAAGAAAACACAGAGAAATGTTTTACTACTTTAACAGAAAACTAACAATATAAAAGCAATTTCAAATTAATCTGAAATTCTTAAACTGAAAAGTATGCTCAGTGACATTAAGAGCATGACAGAGGGCGTCAGTAGCCAGGGAGACCAAATAGGAAGGAGCGAGTGAACTGGAGACAGGCTACATGGACGTAGCTGCGGGAAAGGGAAGGAGAAGAGGAGCTGAGTGAAGACAGCTTTCAGGAGTGTTGGCACAGGATGAAAAAAGCAAACATCTTGGTTATCGGTGTTCAAAACAGACCTGAGGGGCTGGAGAAATGGCTCAGAGGTGAAGAGCACTGGCTGCTCCTGCAGAGGACCCAGTTTGATTCTCAGCACCCACATGGTGGCTAACAACCGTCCATAA